CTCTACGAGCTCTCCGAGAGTCTGAAGCTTGAAAGTAGGTTGTTGTTGTTGCAAAGATGGTTGTTGGAGTGGTATACCGAATGGATTTGATACCAGCGGCGGATTGATGGGTTGTTGTTGCAAGGATGGTTGTTGTGGTTGTTGTGGTTGTTGTTGTGGTTGTTGTGGTGGAATGAGTGTAGATGGTGGATTGACAGGACGGAAAGGCTGCATTTTTTGTTGAAATTCTAAAAAAAAAAATTCATTTTTCTGGTTCATGGAATTCTTTGGAGTGAAAAATTCTTTTGAGATTTTGATTTTGGGAAGCAGGAATTCTGTATTCAATTCTTCCACCATTTTCCATTCAAGAAGGAAAGTATCCAAAGAAAAGGAGGTTTTAGCAATGAATATTTATAGTTTATCTGAATACTAACAGCATATAAATTTTTACAGCCTGAAATTGTTGAAACAGAACAGGAATGATTATTTTGAGAGTGCCTGATTCAACAATTCGTTGGTATGCTTCCAAACAGCTTGTCTGAAAACGTCATTATGTGAAGAAGTGACTTTCCCAATTTCTCTCCCTTTGGATTCATCAGGTGAAATCCTCTTCTCATTGCATCGCTTGTCAATCCCTTCATCATGTTTTCAGCACATGTCTCTGTTGAGGATGCAAATAATTGAGCGAATCGTGTACCCCATCGAAGAAGTGTTGGTAATTCTGTTCCCCAGTTGGTTGCCACAAATCCTTCATGTTGTGGTACATCAAAATGATAATTTTCATAAACGTATTGGAATATTTGGAAAATCAAATTGGACAAATGTCATCGACAACCTGGTTGTCAATTGACTTACCTGGTGCAGCATGAATGAAGGAAATATTTTCATTTCCTGGTTCTCTTGAAAATTGATCCATTGCCAAATCATTATAAAAACCAGCAGCATTTGCTGCATTTAGCAAGGAATAATCGTTTTTCAATTCTAAATCATTCACATTGGTGTAAGCTTTATGAACACCAGCGCTGAACACATTTAATACTCTCACATCCGTATGTTTCGAAGTTTCTCTGAGCAAGTCGTTCAATTGTTTGATAAACATAACTCTTCCATAGTAATGAAGTGCTAATTTGGTATCAATGCCTTCTGGCGTTTCCTTCCTTCCTTCGGTAGTGGCAATACCTTGAGAGAGAACGACATAATCCAATCGTGAGTGCTTCTTTTTAAATTCCTCACACGCTTTCACAATTTCCTTCATTGAGGAGGCGTCACAGACCATCATTTCATACGTTCCTTCGGGATTCAATTGTTTCATTTCCGAAACAATTTCCTTTCCGACCTTTTCATTTCGTCCCATAATGACCACATTGATCTTTTCTTGGGCGAATTTCATGGCCATTCCTCTGCCAATGCCTGAGGTTCCTCCAACACACAAGGCTTGTCGGAGGGCATTACTCGTGGTGCTATTGTTGATCATGATGAGAATGAGAATCGATGAGAGTATCGCAACTGGATAATTTTTTTCTTTGCATTTTCGAATGATTCAGGAAAATTCTTTCTCTTTCCCAATAGAAGCTTGAAAATGCGCACGCAGCACAATTTCGTGCCAAACGAAAAGAGATTATGATCGAGTTAAAACTTGAGCATTCGAATTTGGGTTGAAACAGGGGCTCCTGTGTTTGTGCGAATGCGAAGAAATAGGAGGACAAACTTTAGAATATCCATTTTAATCTTGAGGTGTTTTTGGCCTCAAATTGTATGGCCGCCAAATGGGCTCTGGTGATACCCAAGCTGGAAGAAGAATTCTATCTTGTCAATAATTTGCACAAGAAACTCTGCTTTGAAGAAACCGCAAGGGCGTCTTACTTCCTTCGTTTGAAACTAAGAAAGAACAGTGAGACTGCAAGAAATATTCTTCTTCGATTCCTTACAACAAATAGAATATATTTCTGAGCACCTTATGCGTTGGGTCCTTTCCTATGGCTTCCACTGTTGAACGAAGCTTGCTGAACAGCATTCTCGATTCGTTGCAATTGTTCAAAAGTTTGATTTCAATAAAGGTTTGCTTTTGTAAAGGTGAGAAAGCGCGATCAAGAGAAAAAAATGTTCCACTCTTATGGCTTGGATCGCAATGCTGATGATGATTTATCATCTTCCGAGAAAGAAGGATCGGTGTGGAAAATCATTAATAACTTTTCTCTTAAAGATGTCAAGTCCAGATATTTACTTCAATTTCCTCTGTATCCAATACAGTGGATTTCGGAAAGCACTGACTGCCTAGATCATCACCTGATCAACACGCATTCATCAAGTGCCACCATCTATTCTGCACCTTTTCAAAACAATTGTAATTTCTTATTTTATTATGAAGTTAGAATTTTAGATTGTCCTATGGATCATCCAGTGTTTGGATTTGGACTAGCTCCACCCTATTTTGAAGAACAAGGAATGGTTGGATGGGACAAACATTCGATCGGTTATCATGCGGACGATGGCATAATTTATGACTCACACGGATCTGGATACAGCCAGAAAATATTCGTAAAGTTTGAAAAAGGAGATTGTGTGAGCTTATTGTGGTATAACAATGAGGTATACTTGGCAAAGAATGGACAATTCTGCCCACATTCGTCAAAGAGGCCATTTAACAAGTTTATGAATTTGTGGGCCTCTATTTCAACCAATACAGAGGTCTCATCGTTTCAAGTAGTGACAGAGCCACAATATTTTCGATACTTGTCGCGAGACGTTTTTCATTTCTTACCAGAGAAACAGGATAGAAAGCTTTGCACAAGTAGCTCTTTAACAGATGGTCATTTAGAAGATGTCTCAGTAGCCTCATCCAGTTCCAAAGTGATGTCAGCTTCTCATCAAACTGGCCTCTCAGCTGAAGTTTCAAATCTTGATCATGAGGGCCACATGACGAAGGAGGATCAAAATTTGATATTACAATTTCAACAAGATTTCACAAAGCTCATAAGCACAATCAAAACAAAGAATTCCGCAAACAGTGCACTCTACCAACAGGTACAAACTTTGAAGAAGGAAAAAGAGCAATTGCAAATTGCAAATTTCACCTTGAAAGACTCTCTTCAAAAACATGAAAAACAGCACAACGAGCAAATACAAGAACTTGAAAAACTCAAAAGACTCTTGTGGAAGAAGCTCAGCACCCAGAAAAGAGAGTTCAGATCAGCAAAGACGAACTGTCACTCCTTCCACTCACAACATTGCAAAACATGAAAACTCAGATGGAATCAAATCTCAAACATATTCATGATCTTCAATTAGAGAGAGAGCCTCGGAGGAGGTACTATGCACCATTTGTTTGGTTGAGAAGAAAAAGATCTTGTTCCTTCCTGTCGTCATTTGTGCACGTGTGAAAGTTGTTCCAATTCTGTGAATCAATGCCCAGTGTGTAGACAGCCAATCGATCAGAAATTATCAATACACATGATTTAACACATCATCATCATATGTTGACAAGCGATCTCGATTTTTTCCATATTCGATACGTTTCAAAAGTAGTAATATTTACAAGTACAACCAAACCAACCAGAAACAAAAATTAAATATTGTTTATTGGCCCTTCGGTGCCTCAATACTTGTCATAAAACAACATTGGACTTCATTTTCGTTTAGATACTACTTCTGAATGTCGAATGTTTTTAACAGGATATATCAAATATTAACAGATTACATGCTTGTGTTGAGCAACTGTTAACATGGGTTGAGTCCATGATTCAAACAGAAGGCAAAAATAAAGCAGTGTTTTGTCTGTTAATGCATATGGTTTCGTTGGTTTGTAAGGTTGAGTCGTCAATTATTGTAAAAGGTCATGAATAGGTATATATAGTGTTGATGGATATGATATGTTAATAATGATATGTATCGATTACCAGCATTGTCTTCAAAGTTCTAAGTCACAACAATTAATAATGTTGAAGGGCGGAGAGCAGTCTTGGATCCAATATAAGGTGAGATGCTTCTTTCTTGTTCTTACATTCATTACACGTTTCTTATCGAATTGTTGATAGCACTGATCATCATAATACAAATATAGTATCTTGCCTTTTGTCCATGATTAGTATGATTGTGAAGTTTGTTCTTTTGCTTTGTTTTTCTTTTTGGCTTGGCTTTGTCGGTGGATGATTGTTTTTAGCTTGTGTGGTCCTTCTTGTTTTGCGAGGTTTGTTCTTTGGCTTGTATTCTTTTTCTTGTTTTGATGGAGTTGGTTGATTCAATGTTGATAATGTATTCTCATCTTTCTCAACTGGTGGATCGTTAGTTTTCTCAACTGATGGATTTTCTCTAAAGGTGATTGCGTCACATAGATGATGTTGTAAAGATTGTAACAAGTGATGCGAATGATCTAATGGCTTCCGTGCCTTTTCTTCGCAATTTCTGTTCTCTTCATTTCGTATATATTCATTAAGTTTGGCGTTTAATTGTTTGAGGGTAGCTGAAATGTAATTCGCTTGTTGTTCAATTCTTTCCAAACGTCTTTCCAGGCTGTGGAGCATGCAAGAGTCAATTCTGATGTTCATCTTGCGGTATTTTTTAAGGGCTCGAACCACAAACAAAAATGCAACAACCAAATGGTTCTCAACAGCAAGACTCCTCGTCTGTACATCATCAAACGATAAACAACAACACAAATGAGGCCTCTCCATCACAGTCGTTTAGATCATCATGTTGTTCCTATTCAAACATGACCGGATCCTTCGGAGAAATGTATTACCGATTGCTTAAGCGATTCAGGACAGAACAATTAGAAAAAGACTTGTACAATCATCATGTGATGATTACCACAGATTCCTTACTTCATGCCTTCCACTACAGTTACAAATCAATTTTAGAGTCGATTGAAGTGCAAATATTATTTCCGAAAAGCAAACGACTCTTTGCCAATCTATATGAGTTGATGAAACATACCTTTATACCGCACCGATTTTCAGCGTATCAAATACAAAACTCTCACTCCAATGAATTAATACCGTCCAATGAATTTAGACCATTAGGTCTCTTGGAGCAAGGATTGGTAGATCTAGATTTTTATATCACACTCTCCTTTTCCCTTATTGTTGACAAGGTTGAACAAGTATTTTTTCCTCTAATGCTCACGATGTTCAATATTTGTTTGATCTCATTCATAGGCGTTCGGGGAGTGAGTTTAGCTCATCATGTTGTCTCTTTACAATATTCGGTGAAAAAAGGTTTTTCGAATTTAAGCGTTATCAACCAAATTGGTACTACATTCGAGATTATATGAATAATTATTTCAAGCTTATTAGTTGGTGTGGAAACACCCATCTTGACCTTACAAACTTGAGACAATTTACATTAATGCTGTTGTTATGGCTTCTCATATGCGAGTCAAATTCCCTCGATAAGGAATATACGCAAATTGAACATTGTTTTACAACCATGATTGGTCCAGCAGACTCTGTAAATTGTGAAGGAATAACCAGATTTTTATTTGATTATTTTGGTCTGGAACAGAACGAGATTAGTCTTAACAAGCTTGGTGACAAACTCTATACAACACTAACTTTACCTGATGGAGAGAAGGTTGTCCGAGAAATGCAAAATTACGCTCTCAACAAAAAATTAGGATTGAATTATATTGCCAATTCAACTCTAAAATCAACTCAGGACGGAATTGGATATGAAGAAAGTTTTACTTTTGCTTATTTGGCCAAAAGTTCACTGTAGATTCTTTTATATTTTCAAATGTCACTTTTGATAGGTTATCTGATTCTGAAGGAACAAGACTACTTCCACGAATAATTCCAACTGTGTTAGACCTTGCATATGCAATATTTGGAGCTGAAAACGTGGCAGAGAATTTCATTCGAAACACAGATCCTTATTTTGATGTGGTATTACCGAAATTAAGAGAGTTGCGAAGTTCCCTGCAACAATTAGAATCCTGCATGATGCCTTCGAGCATCCATAACTTGTGGCTCCAAACCATTCAGTCACTCAGCTCGTTCACATCCGACGATTTGTTTTCTTCGTGCCAAAACTATGAATTCAAAACTCTAATCACTCAGTTTGCATCATATTCCCATTTAAAGTATGACAGCTCACTTTTTGCTAAACAGCACATTGAGACAGATATTGAACCCATGCTACTCAAGGAAGTCTTTGATATTGATACTGAGGCTTCTGAGTTTAAGAACATTCAGTTTTTAGTTGACGGAAATGTGCAATTTTTCAACAAGTTTCTTTCATTGTTACGGTTCTTGCATGATCTTCTGAAAAGTGACGAAATGTTCAGCAAAATGCCTATTAGCGAAGAGGCTACCCTATTTTATGATAATTTCATCAAGACCATTCAAACACTCATGAATATTCACCAAAAGCAGTGCCAAAATCAATCACTCTCGCAACAAGAAACCGCCTTCCTCTCAAATATTATTTTCGCAGAAAAGACACTCTCAATATTAATCAAAGACCTGAAAGTTTGAGGCAAACTTTGGAGACGCCACTACCTCTCAAAATTATAAGGTTTTTGGATGGTATCCAAACCTCTTTTCAAGCGTGACGATGCAGGTCGTTTCAAACCAATTGTTATCGACATTCACAGGTATCCAGATGTTGACAATGGAGCGATTCTTTGGGAAGCAGTGGGTGCCTGCCAACTGCTGGAGTATGTCGATCACGAGTCAGGGCTCAAGTTTTATGGTCCCATGTTTACACAATATGAGTTTGTCACACCCTATTCTACCACGCTTAATAATGCAACATGGAAAACTAAATTGAAAAATCCCAAGCTTGAATGTAATTCATGGATGTCCAGCTTGAGTTCTGATGCATGCTTGGGAGCAAATTTCATTGGATACTCTCGACTGGACCATTTCACATGTGCAGAGTATACCACTCAGTCTCAGACACCATCATTCAACTCTTCTCCAAACAGTCCAAGCCCCCAATCGATGCAGTAATATGTTTTCTTATGGTAGATCGAATCAATTCTAAAAATTAGATGTACAGCTGTTCTATCCTTAAATAATGGTTGGCGCCAAAATTCAACTTTCAAAAATATAACCGTTTCGCATTTAAAAATCAAAACAATTAAAAAATCACTAATTACCACACCACACACGATTCGTCCAACTTCCCTCGGCACACATCCCCGATTTTCTCCTTCCACATCACACCACACAACAACTCCTTCTCATGTCTTCTACAATGACAAGCACCACCACCACCACAACATTCACGTCAGCTCCAATGTCCTCCTCTTCTTTCTCTTCATCATCATCAGTAGAGGCAAAACCTATTCGTTTGTCTGACATTCTTAGAGTAAACGAAGAAAGATACTCTGAACTTGTAAATGAAATGAACACAAGGTTTGATCTATACTTTATGGATTTGAACAAACGTGCCAACTTTATCAAAGATCAAATTACCAACTCCTCCTCTCTTTGTTTTGTAACTCCTTCTTTTAAAGGCTTCAATGGTCTTCCCAATAGTGGTAAGAAGACTCCTTTCCACTTTAACCATAGCGGAAAGAAAAAGACACCTCTCAGGACTCCTCCTGTTGGAGTCTATCACTCACATTTACCTCTCCATAAATCCTCTCCGAATATGATGATGGTGCCATCTCCACTCATGAGAAAGCCCACGACTCCTCTCGCTACAAGAAACATTGACCAAGAACAAAACATTAGTAATAATAATCATCGCAATCATAGTATGAATAATATTCAACAACAACAAGGATCAGTTCATTCATCGCCCTCTTCCTTTAGATCGTTTCAATCTCCTAAAGGAAGCACGAGTGGTGGTGGAAGGAAGAAGAAATTCTCTGCTATGAATTCTCAACAACGTCAGATGATTCCAACCTCAAAGAATGAGTTGACCTCTCCTCAACAAAGTCCAATTCCAATGATCATTGACAATACAGAATTGGAGAGAGATTTATTGTCTCCTCTTCCTGCACTTGATCTCGAAAAGGATATGACTCCTATTGAACCAGTCCTTGATAGTGGTGCAGCTGCTAGATCATTGGATCCACAAAGAGATGGCGATGCACAGGACGAAAATCTGGACTCTCGGACGACTTGGACATGATTCATACAGTGGAATCCTTGTCGACCGACTCTGACAGTGAAAAATCCGAACATTTAATTATTGCAGGAACGACGAGTACTTCCCCAAGTGTCTCTCGCAATCCTTGATGTCTAAGGAAACGATAAAGGCTCATGATG